GTGGCGGGGATAACTGGAAAGTAATAAATGGTGAGCAAAAGAACTTTACTTCCCAGTGAACTGAGAAACTGCAGAATATATGGGTGGAGGGATTGTATTTTTTTTTTTAATTGTAATGATGGAGATAGGAGAAATAGAAGTCTCTCAAATTTAGGAAGAACAGAGGATAGGATGCTGGTATTTACTAGAATTAATTTGCTTATTTTTGTCAGAGATTTTGTTACCTGGCCGTTCTGGTGTGATGACGTTAAGTCCATTTCTAAGTCCGACGTATTGGTCAGATGGAGGTAGAGTTTGTCGACTTAGGAGACCACTGGTTTCAGAAGGTGAATGCAGCCTCCCATTCTAAGGAGGATACATTCTCGCTGCCTGTGTCTTTCTGTTTTGCAGAGAGGACATGGTTCTGGGGTCCTAGCGGGGGATGTTTCTTGGGGATTTTTACTTCAGGGACATAGAGTCGTAGCAGAGGCAGGAGGCAGGAGGCAGGAGGCAGGGTTTCCATCTTGTAGAAGGCCATGATCTTCTTGTCTGGGCCTTTTTTTTTTTTTTTTTTGAGACAGAGCCTCCAGCTGTCCTCCTGTAGAGTGCCGTGGCATTACACCTCACAGCAACCTCCAACTCCTGGGCTCAAGCGAGTCTCCTGCCTCCGCCTCCCAAGTAGCTGAGACCACAGGTGCCCACCACAACACCCGGCTATTTTTTGGTTGCAGCCGTCATTGTTGTTTGGCGGGTCCAGGCTGGGGATTCGAACCTGCCACTTTAGGTGTACGTGGCTGGCGCCTTAGCCGGTTGAGCTATAGGCGCCGAGCCTTTGTCTGGGCCTTTTGAGTAACTATCTCTGAAGAAGACTTAAAGTGGCAGCTGCTATTTAAAACACTTTCCTGCCTTCCCAGCTGCTGTCAGTGCTGTTTTCTCTTTTTCTGTATCCTCTCTCCATCTCTATTAAAAGGCCATGAAGGCCAGGTCTAAAAGTTCTGTTTGTGCGGCCTAAGGCTTCTTTGAAGTTTTGGAGTTTATGCCTAATACTGCAGTCAACTAAGAGATGGGGCTACCTGGGAGATGAAGTACTTTGTTCCTCTCTGGTATTAAGATTTATTTGTTTGTTTATTTTTTGAGATAGAGTCTTACTCTGTGCCCTGGGTAGGGTTCCCTGGTGTCATAGCTCACAGCGACCTCAGACTCTTGGGCTGAAACGATCCTCCTGCCTTAGCCTCCTGAGTAGCTGAGACCACAAGCACCCACCCACAGCACCCAGCTAGTTTTTAGAGAAGGGGGTCCCACTCTTGCTCAGGCTGGTCTTGAACTCCTGAGTTCAAGCAAACCACCTACCTTGACCTCTCAGAGTGCTAGGATTATAGGCAGGATTATAGGCCTCTCAGAGTGCTAGGATTATTGTGCCCAGCCTCGCTGATATGAAGATTTAAATTAGCAAAGAATTAAAAATGCTTTAGACAGGGAAAAGGGCTGAATTTTTATTACTCTGGCTTTGAGAGAGTTATTACGTCTTTTGACCTCTGAAATATTTGAAAGGGGAGTTGGTATGTGGGAGAGAAGAGAGTGTAGCTAGGGAGAGAAGGCCACTGGGGAAATCAGTGGGTGGGCAGAGCCAGCAACGAGGGAGGGGGGAGCCTTGGGCAGAAGGTGATGGCCAGCAGAAGGTGGAGGCCTGAGGCGGGGTGGGAAGGGGGAAGGGAGTGGGGAGAATCTAGAGGAGTTAGCAGGTGGAGCGGTAGGAGCTCGAGGCATTGTGGAGGAGGGAAGATGGGATGATCAGAAGATAGAGGGGAGAGGTTTGAGCCAGGAGTATGTGGTGGATGGAGTATGATTTGCACAGGGCGGGGCAAGACTGCAGGGAGAGAAAAGGCCTGAATATAGGGGATTTCATCCTATCTGCCATCTCTTTGGAGGAAATTATTTAAGTCTTTAAGGTACTGAATTCAAAGTTTCCCTTCTCAGGTCATATAGACCTGGTATCCACTTTATCTTGAGGCCAAGTTGGGTTACAGTAGAATATGAGGCATTTTGGCCAAGTCTTCCCTTTGAGGTCTAAATTAAATTTTTTCTTTTCTTTTCTTTTCTTTTTTTTTTGAGACAGAGCCTCAAGCTGTCTCCCTGGGTAGAGTGCCATGGCATTACAGCTCACAGCAACCTCCTCCAACTCCTGGGCTCAAGCGAGTCTCTTGCCTCCGCCTCCCAAGTAGCTGGGACCACAGGCGCCCGCCACAACGCCCGGCTATTTTTTGGTTGCAGCCGTCATTGTTGTTTGGCTGGTCTGGGCTGGGGATTCGAACCCGCCACCTTAGGTGTACGTGGCTGGCGCCTTAGCCAGTTGAGCTATAGGCGCCAAGCCTTCTTTTCTTTTTTTTGAGACAGAGTCTCACTATATCACCCTTGGTAGAATGCCATGGTGTCACAGCTCACAGCAACCTCAAACTCTTGGGCTAAAGTGATTCTCTTGCCTCAGCCTCCCAAGTAGCTGGGACTACAGGCACCTGCCACAACAATCTGCTATTTTTCTGTTGCAGTTGTCATTGTTGCTTAGCTGGCCCAGGCTGGGTTCGAACCTGCCAGCTTTGGTGTATGTGGCTGGCTCCATAACCACTGTGCTACAGGAGCTGAGCCTGAGGTCTAAATTTTTTTATTGTCAAAGGAGATACTCCTGGGTGTTTCTTTTGAGGAATGGAAGGGCCTGCTCCTGTGTCTCTGATGTCCTTCCCCTACCTGGGTGGGGAGTGGACAAAACCCAGTTTATCAAAGTGAAAGAGATTCTCAGAGAGTCAGGAGCCCCTCCTCTCAGAGACTCATGGGCCACGGGGGCTAGAAGACTGAACCAGGGCCCAGTGCTGGAAATGAAAATGCTAATCCTGGTTAAGTGAGAGCAAGGGGAAGGGGACGTGAGGACATAGAGGTGTGGAGCAGGTGAGGGAAGTTCTTTGGGAAGGTGTTCAAGGCCCCTATGCACCCTCAATGGCAGTGGGATGAAGTCCTCTCAAAATCTCTGACAGGTGGGTCAGTGGAGTTGGGTCTGAGGGAACTGGGGTGGCTGGGCCAGGCTTCTCACTAACTGCTAGTGCTGGGTTTTTGGCACCAGATGAAAGGAGTTTGATGGTATACTCAGAGATGAGACCATGAGAGGGTGAGGCCAAGTTTAATGAAAGGGGACAACCCACCTGGGCAAAAATGGCGGCTGCAGTGAGATGGGTAGGGGCTTGTTTTTATACTGTGCAAAGGGGAGGAACCTTCCACGGTTTCTTGTGAAACTCCTGGGATGGGCCCAGAGAGGCCTTTTGTTCTGGGAGGGGAGGTGGGGGAAGGGTTTAGGTCCCTAACAAGAAATTGAAAACATTTTTTATTATTACTTTACTAACACGACCTTTTAAAAGCTTATTTGCCAAAGATTACTAAATTTTCATAAACTGGAAAATTGTTTGGATTTGTTTAATTTATGAGAGCCCCCTAATTTATAAGCCAGTTCAAAACCATGCAGGCATAAACATGTTGTCTAAAGGTACACACAAAACATTTCTAAACACACTCATACCCAGAATGTTCCAACAGATTTTACCTAAAATCTGCTAGATTTTATACCTCTAGCCATAGATAGAAATACAAACGTCATAAAGAATGAGCTTATCCCAACATTAGCGGAAAAAAGCAGGAAAACAGAGATACAGAGCTTGGAAGACTAACATTTTAACTCTCTAGTGGCAGGTCATCCATTCGATCTCCAAAAGTTCTTGGATGTCTCCAAGTTCAGGTCGCACTTTGAAGTTTCATCTAGTAGCCACCTTCCTCACACTCCAGGGTGTATTTTGGATTACGATAACGCCATTCTTTTCACATATAGATTCATAGCTATAAATTGACCATTTAGCCAAAATTTCTTCCAAGGGATTTTGGATGGAACTTTTCTATGTTGCAACAGAACTTTACAAACAAAATACAGAAACGAAAAGTGTCCGACCTATCGAACAAATGGGAACCCCAAGGAGACAGGTGCTACCCCAAAATGCCCCTCCATAGAGCACCCTGCTGAAGGGCTGGAAGGTTCAAAACCTTCCCCAAATGGCGGTCTAGTCCCCCCATTCCCTGGGAACTGCAGATGAGCTTAATCCAAACCAGGTCTCCTACTTCCACCTGCCCTCATGATTTCCACCCCAAACTGGTGTCACAAACACCCGGAAGTCTAAAAACCTCCCATACAGGTGGAGTCAAGGTCTTGGGCTGTATCCTGGGGCTCTTACCCAACAGACAAATGGCAATGGCATCCAGATATGTCCCAAATCTATTTCCTTCCTCTAAACTCAGTTTAGGTAGCAGGGAGCTGGTCTAATTTGGGGACAACGGGATGAGAGGTCCCTGAGCTAATACCTTGGCAGCTGCTTGGACTGTCCTATACTCTCTCACGTGGAAAAGAGGCCACTCCTTCCAGTGGGCTTCCCAAGACTCATCCCGGGGCTGCCTCTTGCTTCTGGAAGATCCCTGCCTCCTCCCGCAGTTGCAGGATGTTGCCATCAGGGAGTGCCCACCCAGGGACACCAAAATCTGTTACCAAAAGTTTAGCACTTGTCCATGAGGCTGCATCAGAAGAACGAGGATAAGTGCTTTAGGAGAAGGAAAGAGAAATTTATTATCTTGCTGGCAAAGGAGGAAGATGGCAGACTATCATCTCAAAGTCCAAATTCCCCTAAAAATGATAGTGGAGAAATTTTTTTTTGTTACCCAGGTGCCATTCACCTTATTAATGAATACTGATATGATTAATACTATCACATTTATCACCTCACATAATTAGAACCCAAATGGCAACTGAGATCTTCCTTTGTCTTTTTGAGTGAAAATGGACTCTCTCCAAACTCTTTTGCCTGGTACTCTGGGAGACCCCACACCCTGGGTGTTCTTGGGGACAACAAGCAGAGGGCCTGTGTCTCCCCTGGTCCCTCCTGCTGCTACTGAATTAGTTCAATTCAGGGATCATTTCACTGACTCTTTTTCCTAAGCTGCCGGAACAGTTCCCACTGGTCCCCTCCACAAAATGCCAAGAAGGCCAGAGCCAAGAATGTGCAGAGGATCAGAAGGATGGCGGAGGTTTCCATCAGGACCCAGAAATGTATTGTCAACAGAAGAAGAAACCAACCTCGGTAAAATTATTTAAAGAGGTTTATTCTGAGTTGAATTTGAGGACCAGGGTCTGGAGTCATGCCCAAGAAGCTTTGAGCAAGGGTTCTCACAGTGGTTGGGTTATAGTTTGGATTTATACATTTCAAAGAGATAGTAATTACAGGTAAAATAAAAAATCAATACGTGGAAGGCATACTTGGTTTGGCCTGAAAAGGTGGGACATCTGAAAGCAGGGGCTAAGTTGTAGGTGAGTTTAAACGTTTTTTGACTTATAATTGGTTAAAGAAATGAAGCCTCCTGTAGAGGCGTGGGATGTGCTAAGTTATGGTAGGGAAGTCTGTTAATTGGAGACAAGTTCTGAGTCATATATTTGCTGGGTAATTTAAGGAACTGCAGGCTTGTCTTTTGTAGTTTTTATCCTGTTAATGAGCTACAAAGGATATCTACAAGAAGGGAGGGGCCGTGGAAGCTTGTCTGACCTCCTGTCTCATGGCTAGCAGCCCAGTTTTAGGGTATCTAGAGTGGGGGTCTATTCAGTCACCTGGTGAGAAGGAGCCTTAAGGTTTTATTTTAGTTCACCCTGCTGATCTCTGCAGCATAGCCAGCCCTGCTTTGTGAAGTCTGAACTTCCAGCAGGAGGCCTTTCCCTGCAGGCTGTGCCTCCCACCATGACACTCAGGACCATCTTTCCCCTGCAACTATCTTGCTTTTCTTTCTTCCTTTCTTTTTTTTTGGTGGGGGGACAGAGCCTCAAGCTGTCGCCCTGGGTAGAGTGCTGTGGTATCACAGCTCACAGCAACCTCCAACTCTTGGGCTCAAGTGAGTCTCCTGCCTCAGCTTTCCAAGTAGCTGGGACAATAGGCACCCGCCACAACGCCTGGCTATTTTTTGGTTGCAGCCGTCATTGTTGTTTGGTGGCCCAGGCTGGATTTGAACCTGCCAGCTTAGGTGTATGTAGCTGCTGCCTTAGCCGCTTGAGCCACAGGTGCCGAGCCACTATCTTGCTTTTCTTTTCTTTTTTTTTTTTTTTGAGACGGAGCCTCAAGCTATCCCGCTGGGTAGAGTGCCATGGCATCACGCTCACAGCAACCTCCAACTCTTGGGCTCAAGTGAGTCTCCTGCCTCAGCCTCCCAAGTAGCTGGGACTACAGGCGCCTGCCACAACGCCTGGCCATTTTTTGGTTGCAGCCATCATTGTTGTTTGGCGGGCCCGGGCTGGGGATTCGAACCCGCCACCTTAGGTGTATGTGGCTGGCGCCTTAGCCGCTTGAGCCACAGGTGCCGAGCCCACTATCTTGCTTTTCACTCCCAAACCTCAAATTCTGATTCCAGACCTCCACAGAAGAGCCAAACTGTTTCCCGTGTGACTCCAGACTTCATGCTCAAGGCTCCTTTTTGCCTGAAGCAACCTGTCAAGGTGTTTCCCTAAATAAGGATGACCCTGTCCCCCAGGAGATCACTGAACCTGGGTGGGGTGCTTTCCCCATGAGGCTGAGAGAGGACAGGACATCCCGATCCCCTGAAGCCAGAGATGGTTCTTTACAGTCACACTTCGAACTCTGACAAAAGCCTCTGTTCTGTGCTCATGTGCTGCCATCCCCACCCCTCTGTTCCTGTGCTCACGTGCTGCCAATCCCCACCCCTCTGTTCCTGTGCTCACGTGCCGCCATCCCCACCCCTCTGTTCCTGTGCTCACGTGCTGCCATCCCCACCCCTCTGTTCCTGTGCTCACGTGCTGCCATCCCCACCCCTCTGTTCTGCTATCAGTTCTTTAGGAGGCTGTGGTTGTTTTTCCAGAGACTGTTTACCTGCTCCTTATGTACCCGCCACAGGCGTGAATACCACAGGTGAGTCTCAGGGCTCTTCAGCAGGTTGAAAGATGCCCCCAAAGGGTGGAGACTGGTGGGTCTTCAGGGTTCTCCCTCCCTGCCCAGGAGCAGGAGCCCCTTAGGGTCTCAGCGCCCTGGTGCCCACACCTCCTTTACCTTGGTGAATGCCCTTCCTGTGTGTCTGTTTTCCAGGTCAGACTTTGCTTGAAAGATGAATATGCAAGAGCCACCAGGTCAGGAACGTGGTCCAATAAGGACTTAGGCACCACAGAAGGAAATCTAAAGGTTCTAGAAGCCTCATCTTTCATACGTGCCAAAAAATCCTTTCCTCCTGGGCCTCAGTGGCCCTGGTTCTCCTGTGCTGACCCCTATGGGGAATGTCTCCTGAGCTGTTTCGTATCCTCGACGTCACTCTTCAGTTCAGCCTGGCACATGTGCTGTTCCTCTATTCAAAAGATGATGGGAATTCGAAATGGATTTTAACAAAGAGGCCTTGCCTAGGGCATCTGTGTGTGGGGCTCCCATGCCTAGGGCCTTGGTGTACATCCATCCGTGTGCTCCCCTGCCTGGGAGCTTGTGGGTGGGAGGAACAAATATCTAGACACCTAATCTTCACTAAGCATCCTGCCATTTATAAATATGTGTGAGTATTTGACATTTTCCGTGCTCTCTTGGTGGCAGGATGGTGAAAATTTGTAGACATGACATAGTCCTTGAACTCAAAGAACATCTGGCCTCAGAAGAGAGGATGAGAGGAATTTTCACTCACTGGGGGCAGTGTGGGAGAGACGCAGACAAACACAGAGCTGACTGTGACTTATTCTCACAGTGACGCAGCAAGGAACAAGGAGAGTGGAGCCTGGTAGAGGAGGTGCCATCCGAGTGGAGCATGAAAGGACAGTGAGAGTGTTTGCAGCGTAATAAGGCACTACAGTGTTCAGAAGAGTTTTGGGGACAGTGCTACACCTGCTGAGATGATCAGTCATTTTAATGCTGTTATTGCTGATGGGACAGAACTCAGGCAGGTGCAGGGTCTCCAGATAAGAAATCAACCAGTCATGGGGCTGGTACCTCTTCGTTCATAAAAATATAAGGATCCATTCCCATCAGAGATAGTTGTGTCTCTAACTTCTGTGTTTACAGATAATAGTTTAAATAGTGATGTCCACGATGATCAGTTGGCATCATAAGTTTACATCAGCAGTCCCCAACCTTTCTGGCACCTGGGACTTTTCCTCAGATTGGGAAGTGTGGAGGATGAAACGGGAAGTGGAGACAAGTGGTGCTGTTGTGCAGTTTCTCACCAGGCCATGAACCGGTATCAGTGCACAGCTGGGTGTCGGGAGTGCAGGGTTACATTCTGATAGGTTATAGCCATTGTCTATAATGTCCAGGTCAGTCAAGCTTTTCTTAGCCTTGGAAGCACTGAATGGGTTTGTGTGGATTTTTTATTTGCATGGGAATTTTTTTATTGTTGTTTAATAAAGACACAATGTGATTTTACTTTTGTAAATAGTTTTGGCCTCTAAGTTGTTACCAGAAGTTTTTTCCAAATGGCCTGCAGGTAGAGGTCCATCCCTTTCTGCACCTGCATTTTCTCTGATCAGGGGTCCTTCTGATGCCCGTCACCCACTCGGGAAGAGCTGAGGTTCCCTGGCCTCAGGTGGGTTTTCATTTGCTAGAACTAGGCAGGCCTTAGGAGTCCCGGACAATCAAAACGGATTTTGGAAAATGGATCATGGAACATATACTATTCTGGTTCTAGAGCAGCCCTTCATGGATCTGTTTTGAAAGCCTGGATGTTTGTATGTTGGGCTCCATGAACAGAGCTGACCTACTTGGATGATTCTCTGAGGGCCAGAGAATCAGCCCCTCCTCTGCCCCTCCCTCCACCTTCTTCCTTCCTGAAGCCTCTCACTGCCTGTACTAGTCAGAGGTGTTCCCAGAGAGATAGATTCAGTAGGATGAATGGATAGATGGATAGACAAACACAGATAGGGAGATAGATGAGACAGAAGGAGATGAGAGGCATTCATATGAGAGGAGGCTGAGAAGTCTCATGACAGCCCCCTGGAAGCTGGAGACCTGGGGAGCTGGCAGCACAGCCCAGTCCAAGTACAGAAGCGCAGAACCAGAGAAGCCCAGGCTGTGCCTCAGCCTAAGGTTGAGGAAGGAGAAATAAATCTTACACTTCTCAGTGATCCGGAGAAAGTAGTAGGCAGCTGCAGAGGAACTTTCCTCTACAGAACTAACTTTACACTGGGCTGAAATAACCTTGCATTAAAAAAAAAAAAAAAGACGACTCTGTAACAAATAATAATACCCTGATTTCTGACATCTGTAGCCATAACTATGTAGCTGGTATTAAACTGAAGGAAAAAAAGGTATAAAAGAGTTTGGAAGAAACCGTTACCAGGGTACCACCTGTGGCTCAAAGGAGTGGGGCACCGGCCCCATATGTCAGAGGTGGCGGGTTCCAACCCAGCCCTGGCCAAAAACTGCAAAAAAAAAAAAAAAAAACAAAGTCACCTGAAATTGCATGTAGTATTTGGGTTATTATCCAAAAGGTACCCAGAGGATTGTTAGAGTGTTAGTAGTAATTAATTATATACCTATCTTTCCCCTCTAAGTCCAGAACAAATTTAAAAAATAAGACACTGAAATCAGACCAGCAGAAACAAAAATAGCACATCTCTCACTGAGAAGACTGGATGAAGCTGACACCATGAGACAGCCCGAGTTTGAAGTTACTGTGAGCTGTGACACAAACAGCACTCTACCTAGGGCAACATAGTGAGACTCTGTCTCAAAAAAAAATTATGATCTGGGCCCAGCGTGCTGTCTCATACCTTAATCCTAGCCCTCTGGGAGGCTGAGGTGGGAGGATTGCTTGTGCTCAGGAGTTCCAGACCAGCCTGAGCAACAAAAAGAGACCATCTTTACTAAAAACAGAAAAATTAGCTAGGCATTGTGGCAGGCACCTGTTGTCCCGGCTCCTCAGTAGGCAGGAGCAAGAGGATCGTTTGAGCCTAGGAGTTTGAAGTTGTGAGCTAGGCTAATGCCATAGCAATTTCTAGCCTGGGCAACAGAGTGAGACTCAGTCTCAAACAATAATAATAATAATAAAGTTTGTGATCTGCTTACCCCATCCCCCTGGTCTCTTTCAACTATAAGCTATTGTTCTGTTATTTCCCTGGTTGGCAACTCTAGTAATCCTGTCCAAAAAAGAGGGAGGAAGTTAATTTGATAGGACATTTTCTTTGTTGAATTAGAGAAGAAATCACCAATTCTTAGGAGTCAAAATGTTCACCATCCATATTCCCAGTTTTGCCAGAGTTTTATTTTTAGAATTTACTTTATTCCTCCTTTGGAAAATAGGACAGTGACTTTTTTATTTATTTTGAGAGAGGGAGAGGGTCACCTGTGCCCAGGCTGGAGTGCAGTGAGATAGCTCACCTCAACCTTGAACTCCTGGCCTCAAGCAATCCTGCTACTGTGGCCTTCCAAAACCCTGGGATTAAAGGCGTGAGACACCACACCAGCCAATCTGTACTCTAATTTGGAGATTATTGTCCTCAGTGGAGCAAAATAGTGGTTATTGTAGCTTGCTCTTTGTTCTTTAGCATTGCACATCGACATTAGTACTTGTTCCAGACATACATTTAAAATTCTTTTTTGTCACCCTAATATTTTTGTGATCTTTATCTTCTCTCTTTCCCCAGTATTGTAATGGCACTCAGCTAAATGGAAGAAGTTACCAGGCTCGTTTTTGCCATAGTTTGCATAAGGCATCTGGACTTGGCCCTTGGTCTAAGGTCATGAACAACTTTCAGGGCAGAATTTGGAGGAGCAAGCAGGGTGGTATCTAGTGATCAATAACGTGGTAGAAGAGATTGGATAGTATGGTTTTCAGAAGAGTGAGCTGGATATAATAAAGGGGGGAACTGTGAGGAATGACTTCCATCCCCAAAGGAACCTTTGCTAATTTGGGATCAAGCCTACATGCCTAGAATGGTTTGTGGAGTGTGCCAGGAGATTGACATAAACCAGCTACCATGAGAGTCCAGGGAAGGAGAACTCTCCCAGCAAGGGTGAGTGAAAATAGCTCTATGGAGGAGTTAAGCTGCTTTTTTTTTT